ATTGCTAGTAGATGGCAGCAGCCACAGAACCACAACAGGAGTGTGCTCAAGGCCCCCCTGGACATGTCGCTCATGCTGATTGCCTGGTGTCACGCCCTCTCCAGATTCTCAGTTCACCATTTTAACAAGCACCCAAGTCGTGATGCAGGAGAGCTACCTGACTTTGAGGAGCACACCGCCTTGCTGGAATGTCTTGGATGTAATCAATCTCCACAGACTGAGCCTCTTTTGATGAGACCACTCAATAGCAGAAAGCACACCCTGGCCATTCACATACCCCTAGATTGGCCTCACCTGGCCCAGAGTCACAACCAGGCTCCCTTGCTGCAGAGGGATGGGAGCAGGGCATGTGTTGGACTCAGAATGACGTCTCTACCCACAGCTCCCTGGGAATGAGCCCCTGGCCTTCCACTGGAGCAGACATTCTGAAAAGCTCAGCTCAACTGTTTCTCAGCCAAAAACAAAGCATTGAGTCTAGTTTTTGAAACACTATTGATAAATCCCTTGTATTCTACATCTGACCCTGCCCATCAGCCGCAGAAACGCAAGATCCTGACTTATCTCAAGGGGAGTGAGAAAAGGACAAAGGGAAAGAAAGAAAAATAGAACATGTCTTTCCCTTCTTTTTCTTAAGCTAGAGAAAGAGATTGGTCAGCAACCAAGAAGCAGATGAGCAAGATTATGATGATGAAGAAAAATTTAAAAAATAAAAAAGGAAAGCAGAAACGAGGTGCTGGGAGCCAACAGGCCCCCCACCCCCTGGCTCCAATGATGTTCAGTTCTTGGGTCCCAAGCTCCCCAGGATGGGCAGGGGAGTCTGTGCCTTCCTAGAAGGTACTAGGCAAAAAGTGACGAACAGAGAACTGTGCTCAGCTCTGACTCCTCCGTGGTGTTAGTCGGTTTATTAACAGGGTGTCCTGCACGGCTGGAGCTTGCGAGGAACCAGGACCTCCTTACTGGAGTGAGCATGTGCTGAAAAGCCCCCAGCTGGCTCTGTGCCAGTGTGAGGGGCACAAAGATGGACCAGATACTGGACCTTCCCTTAGGGAAAAAACAGACCTTCCACCGAGGACATAGACACCGGGGCTGTGTGTTGTGAGGGTGTCCTAACAGAGTCAGCACTGATCACAGCACAAGCACAGAGGAGAGAGTGCCTGGTCCAGGACCATAGAGAGGTGGCAGGGGCCATAACCGGACCTCATCTGGAAAAGTGGCCAGATCAAAAGAAGGAAGCCGGAGGAAGGAGTATGGCGTGGTTCCAGGCATTTGGATCTGCATGTGCAAAGGCACAGTGCCTGGAGGATCATGGGAAGAAGGGTGGTCTCTGGGAAGGTGAGGGAGCCAGTTTGGAATGTGGCCTGCATGACTTGGTAAAGAACCTGGACTTCACAGTACAAGTAGGCAATGGGACCCACAAAAGGTGTTTTCAGGTGGTAATTCTCTGACAGCAAAAAGATCAGCCAGAAGGGTCTAAATTAGAGCAAGAGCTGGTCTACAGGGAGGAATGAACTCTAGGGGTTTTTCCAAGCTGTAATTGACAAGATTTAGTGAACTAATAAACAGAGACTAAAGAAGGAAGAGTCGAAGTGGAGCCAGATTTGGGGCAGAGGGACCTGTGCCAACTGAGAGTCCGGTTTGTGAGGCCTTGAACTAGGGATGGCCCAACACAGTGGCACTTGATCTTGGCAATAGCTGATCAGGTTGGAGTCTGGTTCTCATGTTTCAGATGATGAATCAGAGCCTCCAGGGGCTTCTGGAACTCCCCAAGGTCACACAGCTACCAAGCAATGGAAAGAGACTCCGATTCCAGATTGTTCTTTTAACTATACCAGTCAAGGACAGGTTGGGGGTCTGAGAAGCTGCTGAGGTGTGGACACTCAGGGGACCCCAGGGGAATGCTTCTGATGTTCCCAGGGAGGATGGGCCTGCAGGGATGGGGTAAGAAGTGAGGACAGGAGAACTGGAGGCTATGAGGAGATGAGATTTCTGCAGGAGCGCTCCTAGTAAGAGCAGAGAACCCTGAGGAAGCTTCACAGAAGAGGATTCACGAAGAAGCTTGAGGAGGAGCATTCAGAGAGGCAGGAGGCACGTCAGGGAAGAATGGTTTGTTAGGAAACACAGACAGCTCCGAGAAGACCAGAAAGGCCAAGTGCATCAGATGTCTGTCATGCTGCTGACAAGGAGACCTGAGATAGAGGCCCTATTTGATAATGACAATCTTTATGCTGCAACCTCCAGGATTCAGAGTTAACTTCTGCACGCACACACCAGGTGATTGTCTCTAAACCTGGATTTCACAGCACTCTGCACAGTGAGCTTCTAAGTGTTTGTGGGATGCTTCACTAAACGGCTGTGCACACACACCAGACTGTGTCACCAGGAGCACAGGGTTTACACTTTGCTCAAGGCCTGGCACAAAATAAGCACTCAAGGAAGACACAGAGAATGCCAGGCCGGGGCATGCTCTGCTTCCCCTCCGGGGTCAGGAAGCACTTCTCTGCTTTACCCCAACGCTCAGCAGTCAGGACAATGCCAAGCTGCTCTGCCCACTGCAGCACCAGCCAATTAGTGAGCAGAGTTGCTGCTGCTGCATCACTGACTTGGTCCCAGAGGCCTGCCTGACCTTGGGTCACCTTCCTTTCTGCCTGGCTAAGCCGGAGCCATGAGCTGGTTTTGCTGCCTTTAAAGCCCGGAGCAGTAGATTTAGCACAAAAGAAGACTGGGTGGTTGTTTTGTCTGAAGGAAATCAATGTCCCTTAAATACAAATTGAACTGGTAGTCTGTACCGCACAGTGACAGGGCTGCACAGGAATGTGGCAGAGGGCATCCAGAGTCAATGTCCAGGTCTCTCACCTTTGAAATAATGTATTTTCCTACAAACACTGGCTGCAGGAGAAAGAAGGTGATAAGTCAGGAGGCTGGGGAGAGTCCCAGCTAAACCTCTAGCTGGCCATGTGGTCCTGGGCAGGTCAATCATGTTGTCACTTAATGTGTATGCTTTCTGGGCAATCTTTTCTCACCTGAAAAACATGGAGACCACCTCAGTTACCCTCAAGGCCACTAAAAGTGGCTTAGTACTGCTGCAGGTAGCAGGGCTAGGGAGAGGCACCCACAAACAGAGGCTTGCCTTGACCCAGGACAGCCTCCCAGAGCATCTGACCCTAGAACAGGGCCTAGCACCACCCTGCAGTGGCATCTTGGTCTGGAGCCCTCATGTTCAAGCCCTGGTGACAGTGGCTGCGGAGCTAAGGCAGGATTTGGGGCTCCACAGACCTAGGTGCAGTGCCTCCACTGGGAATCTGACTGTGAGCAAGTTTCCAAGTCACTCTGACCTTCAGTCTCCTCCCCTGTATCATGGGAGCCTCCCTACCTGAGGGGTCTTGTGCTGACGATAGGAGATCATGCAGGGAAAGGGCTTAGCATAGTGCCTGGCACACAATGACAGTGTGGTCAGTCTTAGCTATTATAAAAGTAAATATTTATGGCTTAGATCCATACATCACGAACACCTCAAAAAAATGGAGATTGTGCTGGGTGCAGTGACACACGCCTGTAATCCCAGCCACTCAGGAGACTGATACAGGAGGATCGGGAGTTCAAAGCTAGTCTCAGCCACTTAGCAAAACCCTAAGCAACTTAGTAAAACCCTATCTCAAAATTAAAAAAAAATAAAAAGAGCTGGGGATGTAGCTCAGTGGTAAAGCACCCTAGGTTCAATCCCTGGTTCCAAAGGAAGAAATGGAGATTGTAGAGACCTCAGATATTTCTAAGCCACTCCTGGCAGAGATGAGGAAACCAAGATCCTGAAGGGAGCAGGGACTTGTCCTAAGATCCACAGGCAGAAAGTACAGCCATAAGCCCAGTGTCCCAACTCCAACATGGGATGGACCAGGATGCTTCATCCCCAGGTCCTATGAGGACCCTGGCTGGCGCAAATTTCAATCCCAACATCCTTGACTGTGGGGATCCTGGTATCCCACCAACCAAGGCTCTGGCCCCATCCACGCCCACCTAGTACACATCTCCTACCCAGAGGGTCCCCAGAGAGGGCTCTGTCCTCAGCAGGCCCTTGGTAGAGCCCCAGGCATGACTTGACCCAGGCCACTTCCCTATTCTGGGTCTGTTTCCTTAAATGAGACAAATGGCCTTTGAGACCCTTCCAGGTCCGTGTTTTCTGTCTCTCAGGTTGCCCTGCAGCTCTGCCTGAAGAAAAAGGTGATCAGGTAGGGGGTCCCCTCCCTGTTGTGCTCACATGTGGGACTGCAGTATGTGTATAATCCTCCTCCACCTCCGGAAATAGGGATGGTGCCTTTGTCACCTCCCCCTACCCCCACCTCCAGTCTGCCCAAGGTCAATCAAAGACCAGAACAGGTTCTTCTCCAGAAATGTCTGAGGGAGGGAGGGAAAAAAGGAGGAAAAGGAGGAGGAAAGGAAGGACAGATGGATGGGCAGGCTGAAGCCTCCCGGCACTAACATCTATGCTTCCACACAGCTATGCTCTAAGGCAATTCACCAGCAGAGTCTGTTAGGCACAATCACATTCATGGTGGAAACCATCCCCCCACCTCAGGGCGGGGCGGGGGGAGGAGGGGGGGAGCAGAGGGAAGGATTTCAGATGTGAAATGACAAGGGACCCCTCTCAGGCTAGGCACAGCTGATTCTCAGAAGCCCAGGCCCCATGAGTCCCTGTGGTGAAGACATCAGGCCCATACTGCAGGGGGTCCCCGCCTTCATGGCAGAAACCTCAGGGATGCTGGTGTCTGAGGCCCCACCTTGTTTCCTTCCAGTCACTAAGCTCATGTGACAAGGCAGCATTTTCCAGCTGATTGTCCCCATTCAGGAACACAGTATAGCAGGATTCTGCAGTATTCAGGAACATCAAGAGGAACGCATCTTTATAAATAACTCCTGGATAAAATGGAGCTGAAAATAGGGAGACAGAAGAGGAAGCAAATTGCTAAGCACTTATTGAGTCGATAGCATTGGCTTGGAAACCTTAGTGCAAATGGCTGGCCTGTTTTATTTCCTTCTCATCAAGAGGTCAAATGCAGGATGGAACCTAGGGGCACCAAGACTGTGTGTGTCCCAAGGTGTGTTTGGAAAGGTGTGGCTGTCTTTGGCCACTGGCTCTCAGGGAAGATAATAATCCAGGTCTCCGCTGGGTGCAGCTGGGGTGCTCACCCCAAGAGCTCTGAATGGCTCTTTCTTCACTGGAAGATCTGGCCACTGGTTGGCCTCTAAGCTCTGAGATGGTAATCCATGGCTAGTCCTTGGTATAAAAGTCAAGAGTCCAAAGGCCTGAATGAAATCTTGACTGTGCTCAGATGTCCTGTTTCCTCCCTCTGGTCCTTAGGGTCATCCTTCAGCCACAAGACCACTTCAGTCTGTGCTCTCTCACAAGCTAAAATTGAGGGGAAATGTGCTTTATTCCTTTGCAATCCCGAGGCCCCTGATTTGGGGCTGTGCCCAGCAGAAAGCACCCTGCAGAGCGCCCCAGCCCTGTCTTCCCGCCCCAGGATCCAAGCACAAAGCTCAATTACTTGAGGGAGCGACAGCCTGCTCACCAGGTCCCTGCACTGCCAGGCCAAGCGCCCCCAGTCCCGCCAGAAGAGAGAGGAGGAGAGGTGGTTCGGTTGTGGGCGGGCAGCCCGACGTGGCCACATCAGCAGCAGCCGCAGGTGCCCGTGTGCACGCGGAGGATGCCGCGGCTGTGCAGGTGCAAGAAGTTGAAGATTTCGGAGGGCATGGCGTGGAAGCCGGGGCGCGGCTTGACGTTGTCGTAGTAGTGGTGCGTGATGTAGAGGCCCGAAGGGTTCATGGGGAAGGCCCAGAAGCCGAACAGGTGCACTTCCTCGCACAGCTCAAGCGCTGCGGTGGCCAGAATGAGGCCGGTGCTGATGCGCTTGGCGCGCACCCCCAGGCTGAGCCAATAGCGCGACACGTTGACCAGGTACTGCGGGTGGAAGTAGTAGACGGCCTGCGGCGACTCGAAGTCATCCAGCACGTACTTGACGCGGATGGACACGTCGGTATTGCGCGTGTTGTAGAAGGCGGGCAGTAGCACCGACGCGTTCTCGTACACCTGCAGCACGCGGTAGAAGGGCCGCCGCCACTTTTCCAGCTTGTGGAACCTGCGAGGGGACCCAGAGTGAGAGAAGTCCTGTCGCCTGCTCCTCCGGATCCCTAACCCCACCTCTACCCCTCAGTGCCCCTAGCTTCCTGCCCCCTGCCCCCTGGGAGCTTTGCAAAGGGAGGGGGCAGGAACTCACAAGGCTACGCCCCTCCTCTCTCCTCCAGCGCCGCTGCAGAGAAAGGTGTGCCCTTTAAGTGGTGCAGGAGGGATCAGTCCAGACCAAAGGGGCGAATATCTAGTGTGTGGCTGCGGAGCCAAGGGAAAGGCCATGCTTAACCCAAAAAGATGCGCTTGGCACGGGGGCGTGCAGGCAGTCCAGAGTCCTCACATCCTCCCCAGCACTGTCCTCCCCAAGGATGGGCCCTGTACTGGCTCAGCACCCTCCTCAGCCTCTTACCCCATCTATCTGGCACACTTTAACCTTGAACAGCCCACCTTCTGTGGCCTCTCACCGTGTCCTGCCACTTCCTCTGCACCATCTTTGCTACCTTTCTTGGCACCTGATACAATTCATCAACTCCTCCTCCTCCTCCTCCTCCTCCTCCTCTCCTCTTGCCCTTCAACGTGATATGGATGGTGGAACTATGCCCAGCCTTGGGGATCTCAACAAATTGGCCCCTCCCCTGACACCTCCCAGGCACACCCCCAGGGGGCAGCTGGGTGGGGAGCTGCGATCTGTGGCCCTGGCTTCCCCAGTGCCGCCTGGACCCAGCCAGGTAGGACGCTGCCTGCCCTGGCCACACCCTGGAAGGCTCCTCACAGCCTTAGCCGACAGCAGGCTGACTAGCCCACACTGTCCAAAGGAAATCCAATGCTGGCCTCACATGCAATGTTAAATATTCTAGTAAACACAACTTGAAAGAGAGAAATGGGAGAGATTAATTTTTATATTTTATTTAACTCAATATATTGAAATAATATCATTTCAAGATGGAATTAATATTTTTAAAATGAGATAAATGACACCCTTTTGTTCTCATTAAGTCTTTGAAACCCATTTCAAAGATTTATATTTGTATATTTCATGGGAACAGCCTGCACACCTCAGTCTGGACTAGCCACGTTCCTAGTGCCCAGTGGCTACAGGGACTATTGGCTACAGAAGAAAAAGGGCCACTGACCTTTCCGTGATGATGCTGGGGTTCACCGTGACGACGTCCGTCTTCACCCCCACATCCACGGTATACTTCTCTGAGATGGGGGGTAAGTTGCACCTGCAGAAGACACAAAGCAGCCCAGGCAGGGGGTCAGTCACTGTACAGATGACACTGGGAGGGGGCAAGGGTAAGGAAGGGATCACATGGACACAGGGATGCAGAGGTGGCCAGCTGGGCCAGACTTCTGGGGCCAGGTAATAAGACAGCAGCCCTCTTGCTCTGTGTCCAGCATCAGGCCCAGTCACTGGTTTTGCTGAAGTTCCAGACCCAGCAGGCAGAGAAACCACCAGAGGAATTGTATAGTTACAAGCTCTGTATAGAACACCCCTGGATAACAGGACCAGGACTATGGCTCTAAGTGGATGATGGCTGGGGTGCACCCCCTTGCATAGGGGTAGACTTCTCTGAGGAAGCGACACTTACTCGAAGGAGGAAGCAGCAGAAGGCCACCAGTGGAAGACTGGTCAAAGGTGGGAATGGTCAAAGGTAAGTCTTAGAAATGCAGTACTGAGTGACAGAGCAAGTTGCAGAGTGAGCAGAGGAGCAAACTCTGTGCAAAGCCCCTGCCATAGAGTCACGGCCACCAAAGATGCCCTTAAACGTCCTAATACCTGGAACCTATGAATAGGTTCTGCTCACAGGTTCTGCAGCTGCAACTGTTAAGGAGCTTGAGAGAGGGGATCATCCTTGATGAAGCCAAGGTCATCACAGGGTCATACAGGAGAAAGTGATGTCACAACAAAGGAAGAGAAGAAAACATGTGACTGCAGATCCAGAGAAAGAGACGGGAGGACGCTACGCTGCTGGCATTGAGCCAAGGAAGGCAGACAGCTTCCAGGAGCTGGAAAGGGCAACCCGTCCTCCCTTACAGCCCCCAGAAAGGGACACAGCCCTGCCAGTGCCTTGACTGCAGCCCACTGAGACCTCTGACCACTGGAGCAGTAAGATGACAAACTTGTGCTGTTTCAAGCCACTACTTGTGGAGACTTGTTACAGCAGTAATAGGAAACTGACCCCAAACAGTGAAAGTTAACAAAGTATTCAGAGTTAAATCCACATGGAATGAAACCACTTTTAACAATCAAGGAATAATAAGTGCAAAATTCAGGGTGGCGATTACCTCTGGGGTAAAACAGTAGAATGGGAAAGTTGATAGACTGCCTTGATGCAAATCTGCAACTTTTAAATTAAGTGGTTGGTTTACAAATATTTTTTTTTTAAAGAGAGAGTGAGAGAGATAGAGAGAGAGAATTTTTTTTTAATATTTATTTTTTAGTTATCGGCGGACACAACATCTTTGTTTTGTATGTGGTGCTGAGGATCGAACCCCGGCCGCACGCATGCCAGGCAAGCGCGCTACCGCTTGAGCCACATCCCCAGCCCAATTTTTTTTTTTTTTTTTATGTGGTGCTGAGGATCGAACCTGGGCCGCACACATGTCAGGTGAGCGTGCTACCGCTTGAGCCACATCCCCAGCCCCGGTTTACAAATATTTATTTTATTGTTTTCTACATACTTAGAGATGTGGTATAAGGTTTCGGGGTTTTGTTTTGCATCGAATAGTACATGATGAATGAATAAATACACTGAAAAGAAGTGGGTGTTAAGTGGGTAAATTTGAAGGTCATGGGCATTTCAGCTTGTGGAAAGGTCCTGTGGTAGAAGAAAGCGGGAGGCATCTGGGAATGATTGAAGCCTAGTAACTACAGCAGAGTGAGGGTGGTGGTAGAAGCACAGGGCGAGGGGCTGGACTACAAAGGACTGAGACCCATGCAAAGGAGTGTCTGCTCTTTATCCAGGAGAAGTCATGAGAAGTCATGGGTCTAAGGAACAACTGTATAGAACAACCCTGGATAACAGGACCAGGACTATCACCTGTCTTATAACCCAGTCATACCTCTCCTATCAGACCAGTGTGGAAGGCAGGTTTTACATTCCCCTTACAGACAGGGGATGTGCAGTTATCATGTATTGAGCACCTACAACATGCCAGGAGCTTTCACAGGATTATACGAGACATGGTGAACCTTAAGGGGCAGATATTAGGTCCCCTGTGTTATGAATGAGAAGCAAGACATTTGGAGAAGTACAGAGACCTGAAGCTGTGAAGTGGTTGAGTCATGGCTGGGGACACGTCTGTCTGACCTTGAACCTAAGGCGCTTTCCCAAAACTGGATGTCCTATCCAGTAGGGACATCGCTGGACACAAAAGGGATTGGCAAATCTTGGATATGCATGGCAGGCACTCAGCCAGGCTTTGCCACTAATGTCCCACTAGGACAAAGACAGTGACAACAATGAGAGGACCCCGTGTCTCTAAAACCAGCACAAACAACTGTGCGTTACACCTGGCTCAGGTGGTAGGACGAGAGCACGCCCCAGGGAAATGCTTCCTGGCCCCTGGGGAGCTGAGGAGAGGCCATGGTACTGCACGGAGAACGCAGGACAAGAGCCACATCCCTAGTTCTGACCATGACCAGCCATGTGGTCTGGGCCTGGAATGTCACCCCCACCCCCCCGCAGTTGTTTTCATCTGTAAAATGAGAGAATATCAAAAGGCAAATTTGTATTATAACAAAGCTTAGTGTGTGTCCCACATTGCTGGAAGATCTTGCCTGTATTAACTCATTCAATCCTCACCGGGGGGTGGGTACCATGGTGGCCCTCATCCTGCACTTCAGGAAGGGAAGATGGAATGGTCAGTTAGGTCACTTGCCTAAGGTGACACAGTCCCTAGTTCAGACGCAGGCTTCCAGGCCTCAAACTCATGGCTTAACCAGTCTATCACCACGAAGCATCCTGGGGATACTGTGACCCCATCCTTCCCCTCACTCCTGCACCCCTTCACCCCATGCTCGTTTTCTGAGTTATTACAATGTGCCAGCCACTGTCATAGGAATTTCTCTGTGTTTCCAGTCCCCACAGGTGAAACCACTCGGCTGATCATGGCTACAGGGCTGGGTGTCTAATGCCACATGAGATGTGGCACCAGGTTCCATGAAGAGTGCAAGTGGAGACAGCCAGGGAAGGAGTGGGGATCCCTGAACTAAGCTTGAAGGACAAGGGGACAGCATAGCCAGAAGGTCAGAGGGGCCAGAATGGGCAACCTTCTAGGTGGAGAGGACAAGACCTTGAAAGAGTAGTAGCTGACATTTCTTAGGCACTGACAGAGTGTCCAGGGCAGTACGCATAAGAGCTGAAGCAGCCATGTCACTTAATTCCCCAGCTCTGGGAAGCTGCTGTCATTAACCCCACTTTGCAGGTGAGGAACCATAGTCCAGAGGAGCAAGATGACTTCCTAAGGCCAAGCACCTGGACAGAAGCTCAGATAGGCCCCAAAGACCCGGGAGGGCCTTCTGGCCTCCATTAGCAAGCCGGTAGCCGGGCTTAGGATTTGGGGATGGCTGCCATGTTGGAGAACTCTGAACCTTCTTTTGGGCTTCTCGGTGTCCCCAGGAAGTGTGGGCTGACTCAGGGCAGCAGGAATAGGTGTCTCTCACACATGTCACCCACCCACCCACGTCAGTGATGCTACTTCCAAGCCTGATGCAGGGTGTCCTTGGCTTCCTTCTCCTAGGGACAGAAGGCTGGGGTTGCACTGCCAGGAACCCAAAATTTGCAAGAGCTGCCTTTATTTCAGGACTTCCAGCCACACCAAACCTCCCCTGCCTCCCTCCCTGCCACCAACTCTGAGTGGCCCCCTGATTGCAGATCCATAACCCCTGAGATCCCCCTGCAGACAACCTGTGGGTCTTTGCTTGAAGCTCTTATTTTGAACCCATTGCTACCCAGGCTAAAGAGGAAAGCCGGGCTCCCTAAAGACATAGGAGTATTCTGCATAAGGGAGAGGTGACACAAGAACCAGTGCCCAGCTTAAAGCCAGGGTGAAGCCACAAGGCTGCCCAGCTTCCAATCAGTACTCAGGGAAGTGTAGAACCGGCAGGGAGGTGGGTGCCCATAGCCTGGCCCACAAGTCCTCAGGGCCTCACAGCCTGATCTTTGCTCTTTACATGCTTCCCATTCTGCAAATGGGAAAACGGAGGACCTGGGAGTCCAACAACTTACCCCAAGGGATGGGCTGGAGAGAGAAAGCAGGATACCTCGGAGCATAAGGGTGTGCAGGGTTGGGGAATGGGGGGCTAATTGTTTGAAGGACAATGTCAGAGCATGAGGGGGAGCTGCAGTTTGTGGGGTGTCACAGAGGAGGAGGGTGGTGGGGTCCATGGCAGGTACAGACCCAGAGGGTTCTCTTACCGGAAGACAAAGTCAGCACTGTTGATCTCCCTCCCGCAGCGGCTGTTCTTGAGGATGCCTCCGTTGCCCACCACCGCACACTTCTTAAACTGGGACCGGTAGTAGGGCATATCCTGGGGGAGGCACAGGCACAGTGGTCAGAGCCAAGGTCACCCCTGCCCTCATCTGGAGTGCTCACCTCTGCAACCACGTCTACCTCTAGGATCTCTTGGCCCCATGAGCGAGCCTTACTGGGAATGTGGGAGGAAAGTGGGTCTCCACTTTGCCCATGAGAAGCGAGGTCAACCTGTTATTGCTAGGTGGCCCCAAAGGTCCCTCCCACCTCTGACACCCAGGAGTCTGTAGGCAGCTTCTTCCTAGCATATCTGTGAAGAAGCTTATCTTGGAGCATGATAGTGCTACGGCAGCATCAGGAATTAGGCTAACTCTAGAGACCTGCAGCGTCTGCGGGAGACTTGGTATTCACAGCCCATTTCCCTGGAGGGACAGACCCGAGGGGGCCAGGGCAGGAAAAGCACAGGTGTCTCAAGGACAGTGAAAGCACTCTTTACCTTTTACACAGGAAGGAAAAAACCAAGGTTATCTTTGGAAAAATCATCAAAGCCTTATTATGTTTTATACGGATGTTTTCCAAACTCCCATAAATCAAGAACTACCTGAGAATATCCATTTCTAGGCTTCATCTAAGAATCATGGAATCAGAATGTCCAGGGCAGGGACAGAAGGCTGGGAAGCTGAGAATTTTTACAAACCCAGTAAATACTTACCTTCAGGGGAAGTGCCATTCTATGTCACCTGAATTAGAATTCAGGGACCGGAAAATTATGGCTCCTGGGCCACATCTGGCTCGGCTCCTGGTTTTGTATGTCTTGCAAGCTATGAACAGATTTTATATTTGCTAGAGATGGAACCCAGAGCCTGTGCCCACCAGCCAAGACCCTATCCTGAGCCACGCTGCCAGCTCCTAGATTTTTAAATGGCTGGAAACAAATCAAAGACATGTGAAAATTATACACAATTCAGATTTCTGTGCTATTGGGACACAGCTGCCATCCTTTGTTTGTCATTCATAGCTGCGTTAGTGCTTGGATGTGGGATGTGACGGAGACAATATGCCCTTCAAAGCCCAAAACATTGGCTATCTGGCTCTTTCAGAAAATGTTCGGTGACCTCTGCTCTTTCCCTGGGCCTCTGTAGTCACACTACTGGCTGTTCCAGTTCCCCAGGTCCCTGCCTGGCTGTGTTTCACTCGCTGGTCACCTCACCAGCCTCATGTTCCAGGGCTAAGACCCACCTTGCAAAGGTAGCTCACCACCATCCTCTCCGGCACTGAGATGAAACCACTCAGTGGGAAGAAACCACTGGCCTCCAGCTGTTGCCCCGAGCTCCACAGAACCTGAATCTTACTGGCGCCTCTGGTAGGACTGCAGGGAGACTGGGCTTGGTGGCACTCACACCCCCCAGGACCTCAAGCTTCATCCAGACAGATTTGCACACACCTCCATTCAGCATTACTTCTCTTTTTTTCGGGGGGGGGGGGTACTAGAGATTGAACCCAGGGGTGCTTTACCACTGAGCTACATTCTGGGTATTTTTTTTTTAATTATTTTGAGACAGAGTCTTGCTAAGTTGCTGAGGCTGGCCTCAAACTTAGGATCCTTCTGCCTTAGCCTCCCTAGTCCCTGAGATCACAGGTGTGCGTCCCCCACACTGGCTCCACTCAACATTTCCACAATTGGTCCAAAGTGTAGTAGTGCGCATGCCCCATGTGACCTGCCTCTCTTCAGAGGCCAAACCCCATCCACATCTGATGACAAGTACAGCATCCCCTTCCATGAGAGTCTGGAGCCGGGGACTGTGCCTGTGGTCAGCCCAAGAGAACCTCAGTGATCTGAACAGGTCACATGTGTATATCCTTCACTCTGTGACCACCATGCCAGGCTGATCCACCCACTCCAGACTTCCTTATGTGAAAGGAAGGAAAGAAAGGTTTAAGGATATTGTGGATGTTCTTTAATGAGCAACTGAATCTACGCCTACTCCAAGCCCCTGTTAGACACAGAGACTGAGGTTGTGAAAGACTGACCCCAAGGTCATCTGACTTGGGCTAAGTTTCAGAGCCTGGTTTGCCCTGGATGGTGCCTTCTGGGGCTCATAGCCTTGGGGTGTCTCTTTCACTCCTGTGTCTACCTCTGGAGTGGAGGCACATGAGATCTGTGTCCCAGATGTCTGTCCTCAGCAAGCAATGCAATAACCAGGATTTTCACTAATTTCTTGCCAAAGTCACATGGGTGATAGCCAGTTGGCATTCATGGTGCCTAGACAGAACCCCCAAGGAAGCCAGCAGACAGGCTACAGGGCCCAGGCAACTGGTCAACCAGGACAAGCCACTTGGGTACAGAGGGCAGAGCATGAGTCACACAAAATCACCAGGTATGGACACAGAGGGCCTCAGCTGTACGGGCTCCCTCACCCCACACAGAGCACCCCGCACAGAGCACCTTGGGAAACATGCGGAAGATCTCCTGGTTGATGTGGTAGATGCCGCTGGTGTCCACCTCGTACTTGAGCTTCGTGCCCAGTGGCGTGTTCTTCTGGGTGGTGAAGAGGAAGGCTGGGGCATTGCAGCACCTGGACAGAGTGGACCTGCCGGGTGGGAGGACAGGAGGGTGACACTAGGCATAGCACAGCCTACCGAGGACACAGGGGTCACTCTGCTGAGCCTCCCCGGTTCTGATTCCCACGCTTGCTCCTGCCCACACCTCCACTGGGGCTCCCTCCCCCTCCAGCAGTGACACCTCCCCAGGCACTGTCCTTTCAGCCAGACCAGGTCTACCACCATGAAGCCTCCTACTGCCCCTGTCCCCACAAAGGCACTGTCCCAAAGGCTGGCGCACAGACTGGGAGCCATAAACCTCATCTACCATGTCCCGCTCGGGCTTGGGTGACAGCCATTGACAGCAGGGGCTTCCCCCTCCCAATCCTGCCTAGGGCTAGTCACACCCTTAGCTGTTCCCCACTGGAGCCTCCATCCAGACCTGCTGCCCAGAGCCAGGCTACTCCTGCCGCATTTGTGCAGCCTGAACTGAAACCCCCAGGGAGCCTGAGCTCCTCTCAGGGCCTCAGCCCCCATCACAGTTTAGACAAGGCATCCACCTTGTCTGAAGTCTCCCCAGAACCAAGATCCTGGTGGCCAACAGAATTGTATGCTATCGACCACTCAGAAACTGAGTCAGGAAAAAGGAAGGGTCAGAAACTGGGTGGTGGGTGATGCTGCTGGTTCCAACAGAAATGTCAGGGTTTGTCATTTTCATAAAAGGAGTCCTGATGAGAGCCACAGGGCTCAAGCTTAGGTACCAGCTTCATCAGGAACAAGCTGCAAGTAGGACGGGCTGGTGTGGCAGGCCCGGGCACCAGCCAGGCCAGGGGAGCCTGGTTCCCCTCCACTCTGCACCAGGTGTTCCACCCAGCAATGCATTCTGGGAGCACCAGGAGACTCCACACGCTGCCTCAGTGGGTCAGATCCTGGGCACACCGTGCTCCCCAGCCCTGGGGACGTGAAACTCTGAACACAGAGGGCGTTGGACTTGAATAAGGGCACAGACCATTGCCCCCTCATGTCAGGGATCTGGGCCCATGAGGCCCACTTCCTCCCAAAAGCGGCAGCAGCAGGCTCAGCACATGCTGGCTGCCTCCAGGGACACCAGCATCCAGGCACAATCACCACCAGCATCCAGGCAACTTCCCTACAGAGAGGGACACCTTCCCTACGGAGCCCTGCAATGACCACTAATGAAGAACCAGGAGGAGATTTCTGAAAGCCCAAGTTCTAGGATGGAAACTTAGGTCACCAACCTGGTGACAAGGGGCCTGGATTCTAGTATCTGTTCTCCCACTGCTGGCTGTGGGGCTCCAGGCAGGTCACTTTCCCCCCCTGGGCCTGTTTCCTCATAGGCGACATGCAGAATTGGCTCTTCCACTCTGACCCCTGTGATTCTGTGACTCCAGCTTGCCAAAGCTGGGAAAGTTACAGGATAATTTTTTTTATGATTATGTCTCTTGCCGGGACTTCACTGAGAGCCCAGCTGGCTGCTAGTCACAGACAGTGGTCTTTCCTATGGAGAGGTGGCTTCCAGAGGGGAGACTAGAAGCCTGGCAGGGCATGTCACAGGTCAGCACTACACACCAGCATCTGTCCCTAAGCTTCACTGGTGCAGAACTCCATCTTGAGTACCCTCATTGGGGAAATCGACTCATACTAATCAAGCTTACAAGCAACAGACATACAAACCAAAATGCCAGTGTCTATTTGTAGGCCACAGGAGAGGAGCAGGACTCAGTTACAGGGCTCCTTCCTGCAACTACAGGGCTCAGGCCTCCCTCCCATCCTGCACCGGGTTCCTACAACCTGCATGAATAATCTCATCATCGTTCCAGGAGCTTGAGACATGAGCAGAGGGAGGCCACTGGATGGCCTTGAGGTTTTTCTACTCAGAGCACCCCAAGGCCTGATGACACCTCCCTTTCCACATCCCTCCTCCCTGGAAGGTCTCAGCTGTCCTGGGTGGTGCTCTCTGATCCCTGCCATGGCTCCCACATGACCCCTGTGTTTCCCTTGTCATTTTCCGGTTGCTTCACTATTTCCTTAGGCATGTGAATCCCACTGATGAGCCTCTCGGCCTAGACAACGGTCATCTCACTGACTGCACCTGTGCTGTGCTCTACGGCCACCCTGGGCGGGCTCAGGCCTTTCTCACTCCAGGGGCATCGATCTGGGCAGCACATAGTGACCCTCTGAGGGGCAGACTGCAGCACAGCCCCTGCACCATACCATTCCTCCAGCACAATGCTGAGGTTCACAGTCGGCTTTGAGGGAAGGTGGACCTCTGCAAACTACTTTGGGCCTGAGCAGGGTTTCTGGCATCTCACAAAGGCCGCTAGCACCTGCTCTTCAGGGCTCATCACTTCAGACATTCACATTTCTAAAAATGTGCTACTTAAAACAATTATCCTACCTCTAGACTTGGCCTGGAATTGCCACAAACTGGAATAAATGATTTATAAAGAGAATACAGAATTCTCGGTAACATTCCCTCTTCCCAAGCTCTGGGATAGGATTCCTTCATGCTGAAGCTCCCTGAACATTTCAACTCGCACCTGATGTGGAAATCTAGCTTACACCCGGGTTACCAGGGTTGTATCAGTTCCGCAGCCTCAAGTCTACCTGCACCGCCACAATACCATACACTCGCGGGATTGTAGGGAGAGACGGAACCCGGGCACTTGCACTAATGAAAAGAATTTTTGGATGTCTTCCATCTGCTTGCCACCCACAGCAGGACGTTAAGACAGCTCCTGTCTCTCTGGGAGTTTGTAATCTGTTCATTGTGGTTGGAGAGTAATTAGGAGATAATCTACAGCCAGGCTCAGGCGTCTGGTGAGGCTGTCAGAACACAGGCTCTGAAAAGAGGGGAGGCTGTCTTTTGTCAGAGGCAATGTCCCAGAGAGGGAGGCCAGGTTGGTGAGGCTGCAGAGGCCTGGGGAGCCCTCAAGCAAGGATAGCCCCCCTACTAGGCACCTCAGTTAACCCCCACTGTGTGCTGCATGTGACAGCAGTGACCTTGCAGAGCCGCTACAAAGACTGCGGGAGAGAGATGCGGGCAGCAGCTGTTCGGCTGCCCGCCTTGCCCTCTGTGGCCTGGGAACCTTGCCACTGCCCACACTCCCAAGCCAGTCAGGGCCGGCTCCAGGGCAGATGGCCTCCCAGAGCTGGGCCTTGCAGGACAGGGGGACTCTGAAGAGGTGGCAATGAGAGGGACAGTGCGGCCACACAGGGAGAGGGGGGACAACGGACGGTAGGTACTTGAACTGGTTGGCTTCGGAGATGTTCATGGCCCATTTGCACATCTGGAGGCTCTTCCACCTGTCGAACAGCTCCGACTGCTTCACCCTTTGGGAGTGGAGAACAGAGAGCAGGTAAGAGGGCCAGGCTGGACCAAGTGTCATCTTTCCAAAAATGCCCCCTTCCTGTTCCCCTATGCAAAATCCTGGACTGGTGCTTTGAAAATAAGTATATATGTATTTTTTATTTTCTGTGTTCTTGATGCTCTGGTAACTGGAGCCTTGCTAATTCCTGAAGACAGCAAGCCAAGTCTCAGCCACGTGCCTTTCATGTGTAAACTGAGCAGTGCAGTCACCTCCTATTCAGAGAGCTGCTGTCCCCTGCCATAATCCCTCCAGGGCCAGCTATCAGACAACCAGTGGCAATCCTTAAGCCTCAGAGCCTGCCACAGTGATCCTAGCCAGTCCCAAAGCTGTCAGCACGACTGCTCCCACCCTGCCCATTCTACCCACAAAAAAACCCACTAACGTTCTTGACGGACTCTCCCTGCGCTTGCCTTCTGAATGGCTTTAGGGCTTCCCCACGGGGCCCTGTGATGGTCATTTTGGGTCTGCATGTCTTTCCACACCTGATTCTAACAAGCCATTATTCCTTGTCCCTCAGGTCTGCACAGCGCTCTCAGGAAATGTTGGTTGTGTTTTTTTTTTTTTTTTGTACTAGAAATTGAACCCAGGGGTACTTCCCCATTGAGCTCCAATCCCCAGCCTTTTTGATTTTTCTTTTGAAACAGGGTCTTTCTAAGTTGCTGAGGCTGGCCTTGAATTTGCAATCCTCCTGCCTCAGCCTCCGGAGTTACTAGGATTACAGTCATGTGCCACCACACCCAACTCAGGGCTATGAAGGAGTGACATCAGTTCTCTAGCAGGGCTCCCATCAAGCCCCACACTGTGCACAGCCCACAGGAGACTCAGGACTGTGGCAACCCTTCTCATCCTCCTGTCCCAGGGCAGATCACAACTGCCCAGTGACATACAAAAGAGGTGAGAAACTATGGGTATGCCCCTTTTCTCTGAAAGACGATCTGCCAGGCGTTATGCTTACTGATTTTTAAATATCTGAGCATTGTTCTCAGGCACTCACAGAAAAGGGAACATCTCAATCAAAAATTGTGATTTTCCCTTTGAAACTCACAAAAGAATTATTACTTAAATTATCAATTTACATTTGCATATTTGTAATTATGCATTGAGTTTCAGTACTATATTTGCATGCCTAGCAAAATATAGACACTTGATAATGATTGTTGAGTAAATGAGTAAATCAAAGATACAAATTCCTACAAACACCAAGTGATCATGAGACCCTTATACACATTGACCGCAATGGCCAGCATCTCCCTTCTCCTTTTCAGAGTGTCTAACCTTGAAGGCCACATGCCACGTCTCACACGCTCTCTCTAATATACGTGCTCAGTGTCTCTGTCATCTTCCCTATCCTTGGTTACATATCTCCATTGCACTCGAGAAGTTATTCCTTGGATCCTGTGTCACCACAGAAAAATCATTTCTGAGCCTCAGTCTCCTCATCTGTAACATGGGGCTACCATAACCCTGGGCTGCCTACTAAGAGATTGTGTTTTTACTATTACCACTTGGTTGGCACTTTTATGCATTTCCTTATACTGTTAGCTCTTTGGGTGGTGGGGGGAGAATGGGGCATAAAGGAGAAAAGAGAAAAATCTGTATGAGGACATTTGTGTTTTCCCAAGAATGTTCCATGGACTGCTACTTCAATGTGGTATCACAAGGTATTAGCTGAACTACATGAAAGTGCTACAAGATGGCATTTGCATATGGTTTAACCAATTTTTTTAAAGAAGGGGAACCTATGGTCAACTATATTGGGAACATTGAGTATTTAAATAAAGTTTAATGCTTTAGTGTGAGACTTCTCAGACCCTTTAATAAAGGAATCTCATGCGTATCATCTCCTAGAGTTAATGGATCATGGGATCCTTTTCTTATTGAGCTGTTTCTAAAACTGAAATTCTATAGAAACACTGAAATGCAAGGCAGGCCCTACACTCATTAAAAGCAATACCAAGACTTTTCTCTCTCTTGATCATACACCGTCCCCAACCAAAGGCTAGGCGTGGGGTACGTCCAGGGTCACCTAGTAGTGGGTCTTCGGAAGCTGGCTGGACTTGGGCCCTTGTGCAGAAGAAGCCCCTTAAAGGAAGCTATTCTGGCTTAGATCACAAATGAGGAAGTGATCCAGGAGCCGAGAGTTCCCAAGAAAACCCTATGACTGTAGTTCTTACCCCACAGTCTCCTGAAGGGCTTGAGGGAGTCCACCTGGGGCATATTCTGGGGAGAATTCAGCCTTCATCAGCTTCTTGAAGGGATCATGATTCCCAAAAAGGCAGATACCCACTTAACTATAATTTAAAACACACACAAACAAACAAACAAACAAAAAAACAACCCAGACAAGGTTCATTCTGCAGGTGTGTCCCTGAGTTTATTTGGAGGGGGTGACAGTTGTCCCCAGTCAGGTCAAGCCTCACCTACAGGGAGGATGTATGACTGGTGGGGGAGGGGTGGTCGCAGGAAAAGTCACAGAGGATGGTGACTGCATGGGTTTGGAAACTACAGGGACGCAGTTGAGATACCTCCTAACTATTGAAGGTTTGGCAGGTTAGCAGGTTATTTAACTTCTCTGAGCTCAGTTTTCTCATCTATAAAATGAGCATAATAATAGTCTCTTGCCCTCATGGGTTTTTAAATGACTAAATAAGATGACACAATAAAGCATGGGGCCCAGTGCCTGACACAGCAAGCACCTGGGGGTGTAAGTTATTACTGCTGTTCAGCTGAACTGCTGCGACCCTCTGTACTTTGCATTTTTGTAAAACCCACAACCTGTCCTTACTCAATCCTGATTGTTCCCATGACAGCAAATAACCAAGAATACAGGGATCACTGTCAAGTCCAGTGCAAAGCACAGAGCAGGTGCCTATAGAATATTTATTATTTCAAGAGATGAATGAATGGATCAATAATATTGAGTCCAAATCAAGTTCCCTAACTATTTATAACTCTAGATGACACAAACTAGAAATACAGTCCCCGACCAAAACAACTCCCTGCTTGCAGGAAGCCTACAGACTAGGGTGGAGGCCCAGGGGAAGAAAATTTATAATGGCTCGCCTGAGAGTAGTAAGCGCTGTGCAGCAGGGTGAAGACAGAAGGAAGTGGCTGTTGGCTGTTTCAGTGGGTGGATCCCATGATCCATTAACTCTAGGAGATGATACACATGAGATTCCTTTATTAAAGCATCTGAGAAGTATCGCACTAAAGCATTAAACTTTATTTAAATACTCAATGTTCCCAATATAGTTGCACAAAGACTGAAACGATACAGGGAATATCTGGGGAGAGTGTACCCAGGCAGAGAAGAGGGAGTACAAGGCTCTGGCCAGAACCCGCTTGGCATTCAGCCCTGGAAGGAGCCCCTCACATCCAGACAGAAGGCAGGAGAGCTTCCTTCCGGCCTCCCAACCTCCTGCAGCAGCTCTCCCCACTCAGAACCTCACAGGAGAAGAGGTGCCACTACTCTGCAGCACCCTGGCTCCCCCACGGCTCCCCTTCCAACCCACAGGCCCTTGGAGCAGCACCTTGCACAGCCACTGCATCCATCACCTGGTGGAAACAGCCCTGCCAGGCCAGGTCCTGAACTCAACCGTGAGCAACCTCCAGGCCCCATTCCCTGGGCCTCCAGTGCCGTTGCTGCACCCTGAGCACCCAGCCTCAAATCCTGGCTCCATCCTCAACTTGCAAAGTGACCTGGGCAAGTCATTTAATCATCTGTAGGATGGATATCATCGCCTCTGCCCTGCCCATCCCAAAGGTTGCCGGAGAGATCAAATGGAATCATATGCATAAAAACAGTTTATAGATTTCTTTACATGTGCAGAGATCAACTTTACTTTAAAGACGGGGTTGCCCCAGACTCCCCTGTCTCCCCTGACACCACTAACACTCCAGAAGAGTAAAAACGGGCATAAACCTACCAAATAAGCAGAATGGCAGGAGGAGCCTCTAGGAGGAAGAGAGATCTCAACAAGTGAAAGGAAGTGGAGCGGGTGGCAAAGGACAGGATAATAGAACAGTCCAAAAGGGTAGTAGAAAGGGGGAAGGCCCTGTCCCTGGAAATGAGAGTCAGGCTGTGAGAGCAAAACCCACCCCTCCCCCACAACAGGCAAAGATTTAATGTGTGGCTGGGGAGCAAGACTGTTAACTCCTCTCTAAAAACTGCACCATTCCCAGCTAAAAACCTGGACCTTCTAGCTGCAAAAGGCTCAGGAGCACCTAGAACAACTTCAGACGTGAAGCTCCTGCTGACTTTTAATTGCTTTAAGTTAAATGTGCATAGGCAACCAAGGGTCACCTGGTCAACCTGAGGGAGACAGAACAGGACAAACCACCAGATAAAATGGCCACAGAGAAAACTACTGGGGGTGCAAAAGACCACTTAAAAATATCCTGCTTGGCACATGGTGCTGCACATCTGCAGTCTCAGCAACTCAGGAAGCTGAGGCAGGGGGATGGCAAGTTAGAGGAAGCCTCAGTAACTTAGAGAGCACCTGTCTCTACATTTAAAAGGCGTGGGTGGGAGGTGCTGGGGATGTAGCCCAGTGGCAAAGCGCTTCTAGGTTCAATCCTCAGTATCAAATAGTAATAATTTTGTTCTGCTTAATGTCTCCAGAGCTATTCAAAAGAGTACATCTTTGAAAGTAAGAAAAGAAAAACTGGAGGGAAGAGTTCATTAGAAGAACTGGAAGATGAGGTCAAGGAATTTGACCAGACAGTAGAAGCAAATGGCAAAGAGAGAAAGAGGTTGTGATTAAAAGATATGAGTGCTAGAGAAGCAATCGAGAAGACCCAGCCCAGCTTTTAGATATACTAGAAAGAGGAAGTACAGACCAATGAAGAGGAAGAAAACTGTACAGAAAGATTCAAGAGCAAGTTCTAGAGTTTGGAGACACACACAAACACACACACACACACACAAAAAGAGTTTGGACATGAGCTCAGATGAAGAGGTCCCACTGGAAAATGAGAATGTCATTGGACATTCAGAAGTGGCCTGAGCTAACAAGATCCCAGAGGCAAAAAAGAAAGAAAGAAACCAGATAGTCTGGAACAGCCATTCCCATGCTTCTCATGTAACCATGTGCTAGAAGATGGTGAAGGTCTTCAACATCCTGGGGGAAAGTCGTTACTTAGGTAATCTCTACAAACAGGAACTACAAAGGCTATCAATACCCCCTGGTATTATTCTATTTTCTGTTGCTATAACAAAATACCTGAGGCTAGTTCTTCTAAGAAAGAGACTTATTTAGCTTAAATATCTCCTACTAGGCTCCAGATTTAAAAAATTCCACTGCCTCAATGTTGCCACACTGAAGACCAAAGCTTGGGGGCACAAACCATGTCCCAAACACAGCGTCCTTCAATTGGGGAAGTGTGGGGAGGGGCCTGGGCCTGGTGGAAGGGAACAGAATCCTCACCCACTGAAGCATGGAATCGGTGAAGACGGGAAACAGCATGTGCATGGTAGTGAGAGGTCATTACCAGAGGAGACAGCTGAGAATCGGAAGGAGTAGCTTGGGTGAGAAGGCATGGTGCAGGGCACTGGGACTTTTTATTATTGTGAGTCTCTGTGCACTGGAGGTTTCTTGGGCAGGAGGCGGAGATCGCATGAGCTGAGATGATCATCTCATTATGCGTCTTTGTTCTCCCCTTTTCTTCCACAGCCTTCTATTTGCACCAGATCTCACCCTCTTCCTTCACCCACTCATTCGTTTCCTAGGTGTGTCCTGGACCTGTGCAGGTTGATCTCGGAGCTGCCTAGGCTCAAGTTCTGCCCTCGAGGAGCCCCAGTGCAATGGACTTGTGAACGCTGCCCTGAGACAGCTTCCAGGGGCATGAAGCAGCTCCCAGCCCAGACGGCGGGCATCTGCCCAGTGCCTGTGGCTCCCAGCTTCTCGCCTGGCCTCATTACTGAGCTCAGCACCGAGTCCCAGACCCTGGAAAGATGGGTCATGGGCAGTGGAGAGGCCAGCTGAGAGTTCTCCTGCATGGCCACCAGCTGGATATGAGGGCAGGCAGCAACTGAATATTTTTATTTAAAAATAAAGAGGTACTAGAATGACTAAAATCAAGCATAAATAACTTGAACAAGAATTAGCAACCATGTATTTTAATAACAATTCATCACAGAATAACTCCTCCCGCATCTGACAGTGTCAGGGAGTGAGGCGTTTCCCATGTGGGAATTTTCTGGTTGACTGATTTTTACCATTGATTTGAGCAATTTTGCATCAAAATTATACCCAGATGAATCACAGATCTCCCTGTCTCCTCAGACAGCACCAGCTGACATTGTGTGCGCCTGAAGGGACATGAGTGTGTTTGTCCAGCAGTCTCCCTCCACAGATGGGGATGTGACCTTTTTCCAGTGACTCAGGGCTATCGTTCATAAGTCCAGGTCATGGAGCTGAGCAGGAGCCCAGCAAAGCCTGTGGGTCCCCAGATGATGTCAGAGCTGCTCAGATCAGAGGCCAGCCTCTGGGCTTCTCTGACTTCATCCAGGGAGGACTGGAAGACCCTCAGCTTGGAGGCTCAGGAAGGAAGGCACGGGGCTTGCAGTTCCCTGGCATCTCCTGGGCACATGCACTGATGCTTCATGAGTAGCCTGGGCTTCGCTTGTCCTCTCAGACCCCCGGGGCTTGGAACCACAGAGAGAGCAGCTACCATGGAAGAGACAGGCCATGAAACGCGCAGCTAGACCTGCAGTCACCTCCTGAGATGGCTACTTATCTCAGGAACTCAGCCCGGGGGGACTAGAGAAGGTTCCCCAAAGGCAAATGTGAGAACAAATGCCACCAGACACCCCTAATGAAAGCCATGACCAGGGACAGCAGGTGGGAAGATGTGGGAAATAGGAGGCTGTCCATCACTGTCCATAAAGTTTGAATTTGGGCTCAAATCAGAGGGCCCAGGTCAACTCTCATCTGGTCCCCAAATATCAGCTGTGATGGGGACTGTTAACTGGCTGAGTTGTGTCCCTCCACAACCCATGAGTTACAGCGATAACCTCTAGTACCCCACTGTGTGGCTGTATTTGGAGAAAGGGTCTTTAAAGAGGCCATTAAGGCAAAATTAAGTCATCAGGGTGAACCCCAATGTGACTGGTGTCCTTATAAGAAGAGGAGATTAGGACGCAAGACACAGACCAAGGGTCAGCCATGTGAGGACACGGGGACAGGGTGACCACTGGTCAGCCAAGGAGAGAGACCATGAAGGAAGCCAGCCCTGCTGACCCCATGCCCTCACACCCCCGGGGGTCAAGCACTGTGAGGAATCGGTGTCTGTTGTTTAAGGTCCCTTGTCTGTGGGACTGTCACAGAGGCCCCTACAGCCTATGCAGTGACCAACACCAGCAGACAGGAATCACATGGGGAAAGACAGAGCTGCAGGGAAGGACGGCCAGCTTATAGGGCTTCTCCACTCTTCCTGTCCAGACCTCGGAGTGGCCATGTAAAGACTGTATGTTTTATAATTTTAAAAATTCACTATGTTCCCTTTGAAAACGCTGAGATATGCTTTGGATTTCCACCCAAGTGCAAAGGCCTGAAGTGTTTGAATTCTGAGGAAAGACAGGGGCTCTCTGCTCACAGGCCCTGACTGAAGTCTGGGTGGTCTTTGCCACTAAATCACAGCTGCTCGACAGTGCTTCCAAACAACTGCTGGTCCTGCTTAAACCCTGCCATGGGCACCCACGGCCTCTGGATAAAGACAAAATCCCAGGTGTGGGTCCACACGGCAGGCCCCTCCTGCTGCTCAGCTGACCACTCAAGCTGACCTGGTCCTTCAGGGCAGGGACACAGACTCCCTCCTGGCCCAGGGCCTCAGACAAATATTCCATCCAGGAACCTCCTGACCTAATTAGCACCTATCACCATGCAGGCTGCAGCTGTGCCATCCCCTTCGGGGAGGCCTTGCCTGGCCAGCCCCTTCTCACACTAGCCCAAGTCCAATTCTCTGTCACCTCTTAGTTATTCACGTCTGTTTCCCCCATGAGAGGTGGGACCACAGGGGTGCATGGCACTCATGAGAGGTGGATTGCCTCAGGGATTCACCCCAGGGCGGGAACACAGACAACTGGTGAATGCAGGAGCCATAACTGACCCAGACAATGCCAGCTGGACATTTGGCCTCACTCTTGGGCTTAGCTTATGGAGTCTACTATAGTTTGCATCTGAAATGTCCCCAAGGCCCGTGTGTTGAAGGCTTGTTTGGCAGAGTGGTGCTATCGGGAGGCTGTGGAGCACTCAAGAGGTGGGGCCTAGTGAGAGGTCTCTAGGTCATTGGAGGTGTGCCCTCATGGGACCCATGAGTGAGTGGCTTTACTCAACACAGCTCCTGCCACACTGTGCTGGCTCACCACAGGCTCCAAAGCAAAGGGGCCACTTGGCCACGAACAGAGACCTCCAATTCTGTGAGCTAAAGTAAATCTTTTTTCTTTACAAGTTGATTGTCTAAGGTATTTGTTGATAGCACAGTCTCTGTATGGGACAGGCCAGAAAAACTGCTGCTGACTTCACAGGAAGTAGAGGAAGGAAGGAGGTAGAAGAAAGCAAGTCAAGCATGAGCATCGGCTGAGCACCTATCATGTGTGCCGTTGTGCATGCAGACCTCTAGGTCACCCATTTCCATGTTCGTCATTTCAGAGGATCAATAGCAACCCTTTAAAGGTAGGTAATGCTGTCCCCATTTTTATAGGCAAGGAAAGGCTCAGAGAGGTTAAGTAAGTTTGTCCAACAGTACAGAGCTGGTAAGGCTCAGAGTTGTCTTTGGACTTGGGTCTGCCTGAGCTCAAAGGCCATGCTCTCCCCATCACCCCACTAGCTGGAATCACATCAAATGGGTAAAGGAGGCCTGGCTCCTATCTATGTGCCATCATGGGCCAAGGTAGCTGAAGTCATGTCAGGGGACCTTGAGTCTATGTGAGAACCCAACACTGCCTGCCTTGAACATCCACCCCACCATCAGAAGTAACTGTTTATAAATACAGATTCTGCCATGATTAATATCACACAAACTCCTCTAAGTGGATCTGTCTGCTGAATTCATGGCAGGCGGGCACATGCACATTGAAACGGCCACCATTTAATGTGCTTCCTGCACAGCTGTAAGAGGGTACTAGGTGACATATTGTGGAGGCGGAAGAGGAGCATAGTTCTTTCACTATTTGTGTAAGAAGGCAGACTTCAAGAGTCCCCCACATAGGTGCTTGTTCATGCCCCAATGTGCCCCAGAGAGATGCACAGGGCATGCCAGGCCCCTGGGGAGGGCTCATGGCTGGGAGAGGGCAGCATTTCCCTGGACCTTGAAGGTTGAATCGTTTAAATAATTGAAAAATCAAGACTTAATGAAACTTCAATTTTAAAAATGCGACAGTAAGAGGGCCTGACCCTGTGGTGCAAAGTGCCGAATTTCAAGTGAGTCACTCAGGTGCCCTCTTCTATTTCTACACAAGAGCCCGGCGATGATAATCAAGAAGGCTGTAACTGAGCTGAGGACTTAACACCCAAGTCATCAGAGGTGACCCTGCCAACCTGGCCTTCTGTCAAGAACCAGCTTCCAGGGCCTTCCGAATGCCCGTGCTCCGGGAAAAGGAGACCTAATTTTTTTCTCCCCAAGATCTGCCTTGCGTTTCCTGTTCCCTTATGGCCTTGTCCTTGCCCCCACCGGGTCCCAGCCCTGCCCCAGCTCCGCATGCCCCTGCGCCCTCCACCCAGCCGCCACACTCACATGGAGAGCACCTTCACTTCCAGTATCTCGTGCCTCAGCTCCAGGCATCTTGTGGAGTTATATTCAAAAGGCCCCTCGTAAAATTCAAAGTACCTGAGGACCAACAGGGACAGAGGTTACACAGAGAAGCAAGCCAGGCTTTCTGGGCCCGCCAAGGACTGCCAAGGACTGCCAAGGGAGGCGGGGGTGGGGGAGTGGGGGGTCTGTCTCAGTCAAACAAATAGAGCCAATCAGCCCCACCGCAGCAGAGGACCTGGGGCTGGGGGTGGGTTCCAGGAGGGTGGTCAGTTACTGAGAGCACTCTGCTGCCCTGGGACTAGAAGCACCTACAGTAGCAAGAACCCATTTCAGCCGTGACATGCAGTAGTAGGTCTGGTTCCACGTTTGTGGCTGTGAAGGAGGAGCCAGAGGAGAGACGCCATGTACTGTGATCAGACAAAGATGAGAGGCCAGGAGGCAGCAGTCCTGGGAGGCCGGCAGGGAGCCAGCCCGCCAGCAGCCACCGGCCCTTCCTGACCCCATTTCTCTTTTTCCTTCTGGGACAATGTCCTACAACACAGCCACAGGCAGGGCTGGATGTCTGCTGCTTTTTTCTACTTAGGGAGCATTTCCATTTCTCTCCACTCACTCCCTGTGCGCTCCCCTCTGTGAGGCAGCTGAGGCTGATGTTTCTTTCTCCCCATTTGGCAGCTGAGAACACTGAGGCTAAACAGAGGCCCAGGTCACACTGTAAGTGCAGGGAAGGCCTGGGGTTTGGCCGAGGGCCACCTGAAGAGGAGTTGAGCTTTTTCTGCACCAGCTGGCTCCAGACAGGTCACAGCCACCACAGGGTCCCTCTGTCAGGTGCATGCAGAATGATACCACCCATTTCAGCCAGCACTTACTGAGGCCTGGCCACAGGGCACTGCCAGGCCAAGTGTTGACTTTTAATCTTTCCCACTAGACTGTGAAAGAAATGATCAGCACAAGCAAACCCCACAGGCCCTGGGAGTTACCTCTTCCCCAGTGTCACCTGGTTGGCAGGGAGCAGAGCTGGGGCATGAACCTGAATGTTGATTCAAGGCTGCGCTTGCCCCCACTGGCTACACAGACAGCTGGTGTCCCTGGAAGGCCTTCAGATCTTCCACAACCACGGGATAAGAAGCACCTCTTGGGACAGAGGCACCCCTCTCCACAGCTTCTCTCTTTCCAGAGGTGGCTCAACAGCTGGGGCAGACAGAGCCAGGAGGGCTGAATTCCAGCATAGCCTTGACACCAATCCAGATGCCTGCAGAGCCACACCACATAAATGTGGGAACAGTGGCCTCATGACAGGGAGCCCTCAAGAACCAAAAGTGAAAGAGGCACCCAGGGCTGTTGCAGGGCCAGGACCAGGGACAGAAATGCAAGCCTCCCTCCAGCAAGTCCCAGCACCTCCCAGCACAGGGTGGCTGTCACTCCACGTGTCCCCTTATACACAGAACTGCCATGTACAAACACGGACAGGCTGCCTTGGAAATCCCAAAACATTTTACCTGACATAGTGACTTCTTTTTAAAATATTTGTGTTTTAAATAATTAAAAAATATAATTTCCATATTCAATATTTTTAAAGTTTTATTCATATATTCTTAATTTTAATATACTCTAATAGTTAATTTAAGTAACATAATTACATATTTAAGTATTGTTTTGGGGGGTTTTTTTTTAATTTTTTTTTTTTTAGCTTTTTTAGGTGGACACAATATCTTTATTTTATTTTTATGTGGTGCTGAGGATCTAACCCAGTGCCTAGCATGCCAGGCGAGCATGCTATCACTTGAACCACATCCCCATCCCTTAAGTAATGTTAAATGATATTTTTAATATAAAAATATTTTATACAACAAATTGGCTGCTTGTTCTTATATGAGCTAATAAGAACTAGAGCTGGGAAAGGTGGCATATACCTGTAATCCCAGTGGCTCAGAAGGCTGAGGCAGGAGGATCATGAGTTCAAAGCCAGCCTCATCAACTTAGTGAGACCCTAAGCAATTCAACAAGACCCTATTTCTAAATAAAATACAAAAAAGGGCTGAGGATATGGCTCAGTGGTTAAGCACCCTTGGGTTCAATCCTCAGTACAAAAAAAGAGAGAGAGCTAATAAGAACTAGAGACTGAGGCTAAACAGAGGCCCAGGTCACAATGTCAAGTACAGGGAAGGCCTGGGGCTTGGCCAAGGGCCACCTCCAGAGGAGTTGAGCTTTTTCAGTACCAGCTGGCTCCGGACAGGTCACAGCCACCACAGGGTCTATATCAAACTCACCTTTTCCTCTCTGGTTCCCTTGTGTTTTAGAACTCCCTTCTCTGTATTTCTCAACTGGCAAATTCATACAGATTCTTCCGCACCTAGCTCAAATGCTCATACTTTCAGGAAGCCTTCTCTTACGCTGACCCATGGGCTCCCAGTCTACTGTCTCTAAATTAGAGAAAATAATATTGTATTGCATTTTTTTTAATACCATGGTCCTTCCAAACGCCAAGTCTCTCAAACACAAGGACTATGTCTTTATTTCTCTCTCTACCTTCTGTACTACAGAGGCAGGAAAGCTAAAGACTACATTTCCCAGACTCCTTTGCAGCTAGGGCCCTGGGTGCAATTTAGGTTCAACCAATCAGAAGCATTTGCACAAGACCTTTTTCAGAGCTGTTACAGGAGAAGATGGAGAGTTGCAAGGCATGGTTTTGTTGGTGGAGAATGCGGTCCAGGTGGCATGGCTCTTGGAAACTGCAGCAGTGGCAGCACCTTTGTGATTTTTATCAGGGGCAGCAGTTTTCATGATGGCCCCTTGTTATAATGCAGTTTTCCATTCCTGGAAGTGAACCATTTTTCAGTTTTCTCAAAGATTTGGAGCCAGCTGTCCCCTTAATAAATCCCTTTCTCCTTTAACTAGCTGACATGGATTCTATTGTCTGCAACTGAGAACAAGGGGTCAACCTGGGGCCACCAAGCCAGTCCATGACCTTGGTTCTGTCTCAAGTAGTTTTCCAGGCACACAGCAGTAAGTGAGGTCTGGTGTCTTATCACAAGCACCGTCTTTTGCAACCAGAGCCGGTGTTACTAAGCCTTTGGAACCAAGATCCCCGCCTGCTGCTAAGAAAAGCTCTAGATGCAAATGATGCTGGAGATAATTAGGAGACTCATTCTAGAATCCTCAGGGAGCTGGGAGATTTGCAGACCCATCTCCGCTGTGGCTGCAAGCCAGCTGTGTGACTTTGGGTAAATCACCTCCCCTCTCTGTGTCTTCTCCCTAAAGCAATCTGTTTGAACTAGACAACATCTTCCTCTGACCAGCCAGCTTCCCGTATCCTCCAGAATGCTGACCTGCCTCCTTTCACCCAGCCCCCACCTGGTCCCCATTTCTCTTGAATCCCCAATATCACTCATATACCAAATCAGCCAGTAGAATGACTCCAGTCTTGTGCCATATGTCTGGTGGCTCTTAGGTGGGGAGGCTTTAAGAACTGGACTTACATCCCTCATTAGCCACTGCTATGGTCTGAATGTTTGTGTCCCCCAAGATGATGGTTTTAGAAGGTAAGCCCTTTGGGAGGTGAGGGGAGCAGAGGCCTCATGACTGGAGCTACTATCCTTATAAAAGAGGCCCAAGGTAGACCTTTTCTTTCCATCAGGTGAGAACAAGGTGACAAGGTACTGCCTAAGAGCCAGGAAGTAGGCTCTCACCTGAATCTTGGACTTTCAGCCTCCACAACTGTGAGGAGTTAACTTCTATTGTCTATAAGCCACCCAGCCTATGGTATTTTCTTACAGCAGCCCAAACGATGACACTAAGATCGCCATAGCCCTGGCATCCAACTAAGCGAGCTAACGTCAGACCTGTGCCTTCCCTGAGCCTCAGTTTCCTCATTTGAAAAATCAGCAAAGACAGTGCCGGGCACGAGCAGCAGAGCTGAGATAAGACACTGGGGAGCATTTCTGGGAGGGACTGGCTTTCAAGAAGTGCCAAGAAATGCTCGCATGTGCTGTCCCCTTTCTCCTGCCACTAAAGGGCAAGTGCTGCCAGCAGATGCCACAGGGAGGCCCAGGAAGTCAGAGACTCGCTTCCAGTCCCTCGGCAGGTTGACGGCAGAGCTGAGTCAGGGATGAATAACTCAGGAAGCTTCTCTACCATCTGCTCTGGCAACACCCCCTTCTGCCAAGATTAGTAAACCTCCCCCTGCCACCCTGCGGATGAAGCTCATGCCAAGTTCTGCCTGGGCCTGGGGACGTCCTTGATCATCCCGTCTCTGCTGCAGACTCCATGCATTAACCATGGGTTTCCAATGCTTTGACCCTGGGGTCTTGCCAGGGGTGGTCAGTTCCTAGAGACAGTAACAAACGAGTCCACAGTGTACCTTTCATATGCAAGCCAACCCACGCTCAGCCCGGCCCCAGCCACTCCTCCGGGGGACTTCCACACTCTGGACCTCTAGTCCCCTGCTCCAATCACCCCAGGGCCAGGTACTGGGCACCTAGGGACAGCCCCAACACCCCAGAGCCAAAGGTATTATTCAAACGAGCCAATCCCAAGCCTGCAAACTTCGCCTCACCCGTTCCTGCAGCTGGAAGGCTCCTGCCTGCATTTGCCCTGTGCTTCCTCTGCTTCCTGACTGGCCCTCGGGCTTCCCAGGCAGCCCTGCTTATGGCTTAAAACCCCTTCCCTCGTGAGTCATTTCTGTATCTGCATCTTACCCCAGTGGACCAACGCAATGACAGGTCCCCTGAAAACTCTCTATGTGGTACCTCAGCCAAGCCATCGACACTGCTCCCTGCCTGGGTCTGGAGCCTCGCTTCTCCCATCTGGAAAAGGGAGACCAGCTCCTTCCCTCTCTGTTCCCCTGGGCTTCCTCACTGGGGGCTGTACTACCCGCTTGGTCTCTAAAGATGACTGACTTGGGAAACACAAAACTAGGGACAGCCCCAACACCCCAGAGCCAAAGAAATTATTCAGAGAAGTACTGCCACGCTGGGTCAGCTGAACTTCTGCCTCTGCTAGGACGCCCGAGGATGGGGTCTGAATGAAGCCAGGCAACGCCCCGTGTGGCCTGGATACAGAGCACCATGGAGACTCAG